TGTCGAATTTGTAATTTGAAACTGTATACTTAAAACAAATAATTATAATGTATACTTATCTTCTGAATAGTTAATATCACCATGCATGAGTAGCATGGGGATTTTTCAGAGTCAAAGTTTGTACCTCTTGGTCCTAGATGTGAGAGGGCTAGGATGCTCAGTGCCCAGAGTGCTTTTCCTTAGCTCAGACAAAAGCAGAATTTTACTTCCCAAATATATGCTTTTCTGCTGTCTTTCTGCCTTCTTTCTATATGTGTTCATTTCAGGAGCATGAAGTGAGTTTAGTATTTCTTAGTAAGACCTTTACATATTTAATTCAAATCCTTGGGTTTTTTTCTGAACTTCCAAAATAGTGTGTTTCTTAGATTGGAGAAGCTGCGTTGTTTTTATTGTATTGGGAAAAAAAATATTCTTTTTCCCAAACTGTAATTAAAAAAAGAAATAAATTTTATAGCATACCCCACTTTTCTGCTTAGTTTTGTTCAGGAAAATTATGTGTAATTTTTAACAGAATCCAACATTTTGGCTCAATCTAAATTATCAGTTTCTTTAAATTATTCACATTTTTTATGATTAAGCTTTAAGTTAGTGGATGTTTGCTACAAGCAAAAGTACATTTTAAGCGACAGTTATGACATTCTTTGAAAAAAAAAGCCTTTTTAATCCCTCTTTTTAGATTTTGTTAGTAGTTTACACAAGAGAACAATTACTTTGGATTTATTTTCTTTTATCTTTCATTGACTTTTTATAAGCTATCCTACTGCTCTTTTTCACAACGAAACAGGCTGTGCATGTGGAAAGATGATTGCTTAAAGAGTCACCAACTTATTGAGCTCTCAGAAAGTTCTTTATCTTCCTGTGGCCTTTCTGAGGCAGATGTTCTCATTGAGTTTTTATTGTGTTTCTACACAGAATTGCTCCAGCCGAAAACTGATAGTGATCATTTTTACATCAGTTGATTTTTTCACAGGTGATTATTTAAATAGAGAAATATGGATAATGTCTTATTCTAAATCTCACTAAGTTCAAATAGAAGAATGATTTGGGGAAACCAAAAACCTTGTTGCAGTGCTCAGCGTTTTTGAAGTTTTATTAAGACATTAGAGTTTTATTCTCAAACTAAGGTTTTTTTTTATTTGTTTGGTTTGGGTTTGGTTTTGTGAGGGAAGAATAAGCAGCAGGTTGAAGGGATTGAAATTCTGATGAACAGTGAAAATGTACAAGACTGAGTTATTGAGAGAATCTTATGGTGGATTTTGGGGAGCAAATGAATGTAAAAAGTAAGCTGTGTGAAACAATTTCCATTTCATTAAAAAAATTATAAAAGTTAGCAAAGGAGGTTAAAACTGTGCTTCCTTTAGTTACAAAAGCCTTTTGATTCTCAAGGTTAATGCAAAGTCTGACAAGTGGATTTTGCTTAAGTGGTAGTAGTTAAAAGGTCCTGTGTAAGTTGAAACTGTGGTAAGAAGTACTGAGTTCATCCACAGAGCTGCTGCTCCTGATAGGAAAGTTTTATCCTTGTTGCTTCTCATGCAGGGGAAATGAATGATACCTTGTTGCCACAGTGTTCTCCTGGGGTGAAGGCATTCTCCTAGGTACCTTCTTACAAGCATTTGTGTTAGCGTGAACTAGAACTGCACACCTTTTGCCAAATAAAATATAAAAATAGTTGCCAATTCAGCTCTGCCACCTCCATTTCTGATCTCTCTGTGCCACCTTATTTCTTCTACTCTGTTTGGCAATCATGAGTATTCTTTTTGTCTTATCACATGGTAAGAGATCTGGGTAATTTTTTCCTCAAATATACCTGCTGGCTTTTGGCTATCTTGTCACGTCAGCTTAAAATTCCAAATCTTCATGGTTTACTCTGTTTCTTCCTCTTCCTCTACTTGGGACTTTTGTCATATCATTGAATGATAGAATGGTTTGAGTTGGAAGGGATCTTAAAAATGATCTTGTTCCAAGCCCCCTGTTTGGACAGGGCCACCTCCCACTAGATTAGGTAGCTTAGAGCCCCATCCCACCTGTCTTTGAACACTTCCAGGGATGGGGCATTCACAGCTTCCCTGGGCAACCTTTGTTTTCTGTTCGGCTTATTTCTGTTTTGATTTGATTTTCTTTCTCCTTAGGCACACATAGGTTGTAGCTGTGTGACTGCCAGCTTTAGTGGGGATAGTCCTAACCTACCTCTGATGTGGCAATAAGCTGATTGAAGAACACTGCTTTGTTTGTGCTATCCTGCTGGGCACAGCTTTCCTTCTCTCGAGGTGAAGAGGCAGCTCTCTTTCAACTTCAAGTTTGGCATCAGAGTTCCATTATGGCTCTCTTTCCACTATGGACCTCCATTCATATGCTTCTTATTACCATCTGCATAGTTTGTTTATAAAATTAAATTAAAGTAGTAAACAAAATACCAGATACTCCTTCTAAAGCTGCATCTATATATATCTCCCCTGCCTACTCATGCTGTCTGATTAAGGGTCAGTAAGCTGTTATTTAGAGAACCTAAAACAGGTCATATTCCATCAAGATACTTTTTTTTTTTATTTTTTATTTTTTTATTTTTTTATTTTAACTGGGATATTGCATTTAGCTTTTCATCCAAAATGAGGTAATTTAACCTACCCAGAGTGGATTTTGAAATATATGCCCCTTACAGAAAAATGTGTGTTTATTTCTATTTGGAATTAACTTGAATTTTTTTTTTATTTCTCAGACCAGCTAAGAGACACTGTAGTTCTAGCTGTTAGTTCCTTGGAACAATGATGACATTTTTGTTTTATTTGTTTTATCATCAAAGTACTAAGTTTATCTATGTACCATGTACACATGAAAAAAATGAACTGTACCTTTGTGGCAGTGGTTAGCTGTGTTTTGAGCAAATCCTGTTATTTTGTGAAAAAACTTAACAGACTTCTTTCAGAATTTTAGAAAATATGTGTAGATTTCCTTTAATTTCCAGAAATTTAGGCATGGGTCTACGCTCTGGTCCTAATCCACAGGGTGATCTCTTTGTCCTCATAATGTGTCAGGTTTTATTTCATATCACAGGCACTCTGGCCCATGATACAGGATAAGGGCCAAAAAATAAAATGTGGCCTTTAACTAGCACCTCCCTGTGTAAAGCCATTAGTACCCTTGAGGCTCACCTAAACTGCACAGGGGTGAGTGGTTGGAGAACCATTTGGCATCATCCACGCAGATCCCCAGGCAAGGAAGGAAGCTGGAAGTTGGCTGTGATGTCTCACCTCTAGTGAGGTGGTGCGTGAAAGCTCACAAGTCTTGTCAGTGCAGGAGACAGCTCAGGTTCAGAACATTGCAGCTTTATAAGTATACTTCTGGGAGTTTCCTGACTCCTTCCTGCTTTTTCTCTAGAAACTTCCCCTTTCCTGTCTATAGTGAATAAGAAGAAATTGTTTTAATAACTTCAAAGGCTTAACTGGTCATGTAGGTGACTGACACCATAGATGACTACTAAGCTATAAAATTAAACCACACAAATTACACCAACATTAGACATTAAATGTTTTGTTTTGTAATTGCTATTTCTTACTGTCCGAGAGTATCCTAAGAGAACGCTCATCTGCACTTGCACAATGCGTGAGTCTAGGCACTGCGTTCATCAGTGTTTGCTTCATTAAATAGGTGGGGATGTAACCAACCTTGAGAGTATTTGCGCGGGGCAGGTGGAAAGCGTGTGGTTCTGACTTTGCTGCTTAGATTTGGAATTTGATTTTTAGACTGTTTATCTTACCATATGGACATAAATCTGCATGTTCAGCTTGTTCTGACTGCATGAAATGTTGCAATCCTCTTTGGACTTCCAATTTGCAGCTGTAGTGCTGTATTTATGAAGTTTTTTGAGCTGATGGGTAGGTGTTGTCTGTGCATGCATCCATGTTCTTCTAAATTTCATAGGTTTCATAGGGTAGAAGACAACTTGGCAGGAAGCAGAGCTTTAGTTAGAAATATGAAGTGGAGGGCATACACTGTCTAGCTGTTAATTATTCTGGCTATTCATTCCCATTAGATTAGAGATCATTCCCATTAGATTAGAGACCCATAGTTGCCTTTACTGAACACAGGTCTCTCTGATAAAGACTTTGTCTTTTATGGTTTCCAAAAGCTCGGCTTTGCTGAGCATTTTCTTTTTCTAAGGAAGGTTCGAATTTCATCCAGTGTGGACACTTGCTAGAGGGGATGACCTTGGCTGATGATAGGTGAGGGCATTAGAGAGGCTACATGAAGAACATAGTAAACCTGCCAATTGCCGGAGGAAACATTGTCGCCAGGGCAGCTGAAATGATACCAAATGGGAGAGGGGACATGCTTGCCAGGCTGCTGTATCTCAGTGCTGTCTTTCCGGATTTGACCCCGTGGAAAGCATGGGTGAATGGTTCCTGTCACACATTTATAAAGTTATTGTTCCCACAGAGTTACATGTGCTTTTTGGTGCCTGCTGAGCATGTTTCCTGGATGAAAAAGATAGTGTGTTTCTTGTCCAAGTTGTGCTTCCCTAATTTCTGGTTTAACTCTTGATCTGATCTCCCCTGGAAATGGCTTAATCTCTTGGGTGTCCTTTTCTGCCTTGGCTCTTGTGATCCTTAATCTGAAAAGGAAAGTGTGAAGTGACTCGAAGGTCCTCACAGACTTCATACTAACGAGAAACAACGTCAGACTACGCTGGCAAATCACGGACGGGTCTTGAGAAGCAGAAATACATGTCAGTAGGAAGAAAAAAACAAAACCAAAACACCCCCCAAAGACCAGTCTAATACCGGACGGGCGAGTAAGCTGCCTTACCCCCCTGCAGGCAGCGTGGCAGGGGCGCGGTGCTCCCGGTGCCCCCGCGGTGCCCCGCGGAGCTCCCGCCCCGGCGGAGGTTCCCGCTGCCCGGAGCGGGGCCGCGGCGCCACGTGACGGCCCGTCGGGGATAATAAGGCGCCGGGAGGAGCCGCGCCGGGCTTCTCCGGAGGGGCAGCGGCAGCAGGGGGAGAGAGGGGGGGGCGGCACAGGTCAGCACCTGCCTGACAGCTTCAGCCTCTGCTCTCAGCAAGACTCGTCAGTGGTCGTTCCCTGTCACCTTGGAAAAAAATTTTAAAAAAGGAAGAAGAAAAGAGACACTGCTACCTACAACTCATCAGCAAGTCCACTAAGCTTATTATATATATATATTTAAACGTAGTAGAAGCCACCGCAGCTGAAGCTGGTCCCCAGGTAGCATGAATAGCATGAACCAGATAGAAACAAACATGCAGTACACCTACAACTACGAAGAAGATGAGTACATGACCCAAGAAGAAGAATGGGACAGGGACCTGCTCCTGGACCCAGCATGGGAGAAACAGCAAAGGAAGGTCTGGAAATAAAGTAATGTTTGTCTGTGTATGTGCTTCTGTGTGGAGTTATGTCCTCTTTTATTGCCACGCTGCATCTGGAATTGCCAGGGCTGTGCAGTAGGGGTCCTAATTTTTTAAGAGAATATATTCTACATCATGAAGTGTGTATATAACATGTATTACCTAGGCCATATTTTGAGGATAAAGCATTCGGTTTTTGGATTCTTAAGTGAAAGCCATCTAAGATGAAACTAATTTACGAGAATCAGGACTTTCTTTTTATATTGTACTGGAAATATTTTGTCAGTATCTCTAGATTTATATGTTATTATTCCAGTAATTTTTAACTTCACTTCCTGGGTCTTTCTTTTGGAAAGCAGACTCTGACTTGAAGCGTGTGCCTGCTTGCTTTTTGAAAAGAGTAAATTGCAATTATAAACAGGCAGATAAATGAGGTGGTTCAAAGTTGGTGTGCAAAAAAAGTTTGCAGTATTTCTGAGAGCAAACTGAGAAATCGCTTTTGAAATTGTGATCCTGCAGGTCAGCTCTTATTAGAATTTACTCTTAATTCTGGCTGAATGATCTGACAAGGAAAATATTGCCTAGAAGTATATCCATGCTATATTTGGAAAACTGTATTTTGTGATTAGGTTCCCACATGCTTGTTCACTGTCTGGGAAAAAATGGGTCTGTAAACTCCTTGGGATATACGCATTGCAGAGGAAATGCTTCTTGCATTTTTGATGTAAAAACCCCTTCATGCCAGCAAGTACTTCCCATGCTCTTTTTCTGAACATAGGCAGAGATTATAATCCCACCAGCAGTCTTGTCGGTTATTTGGTGCTTCAGTAGTATTTGCAATATCTAATTTTAGAACCCTGAGTGTTGCGGAGCATATGGAAAAGGGATGAAATATTGTAAAGGATTTGTTACTTCCTAGTGTAAAAGGTGATGTTGAAGTCACAGCTGACAGATCTGGGATTAAAAGGTTATCTGCTGGTTACAAGAATTGAAAAAAAAAAAAAAAAAAAAAAAAAAAGAAAAAGAAAAGAGAAACAATGTTTTTGCTATAGGTGAGCAGTTCAGTTAAAAAACTGAAGTAAAAGTTGCCAGTATCTGAGGACAGAGTCTGACCCACTGTTACAGCCACAACTCCTATAAAGGCTATACTGGAAAAGTATAGCTGTAAAAGTAAGCTCTTAGGATTGTTGGGACCAGTGGGTTTGCTTTTCCATTAGAATCAGTAGAGCAAATATTTTCAGTTTTTACTTGTAGCCTTCCTCCTTGTGTGAGTTTTACCTGTTTTTATTAATTTTCCTACGTTGACACCTGTTTGGATCCTGCTGTACAAGTATAGTGGGAGAAGTTCTGGGCTAGGTTAAAGTTCACTTTTCCTGACCTACCCACTGCTGCAACTCCTAACCAAGTACCAAGATTCATCAACACTGACATGTTTTAATTTGACACTCTAGGTGGTGAGCTATTCTTTTATCTGTTACAGTGAGAATGGAAATTATCGTAAGGCTTAAGTGCTTCGGTGATTTGAAACTGCTTGGCCACAACAGGTTGTGATTTCATCTGATTAGGATTACATTGTCCAGCATTTCAGAGAATGCTGTTTTCAAAACAAAGAAGTAATGGGCAGGTTACTAGATAGTCTAATGCAGTTTTTCTGTGATGCAGATAAATTATAAAAATAATTCTGATTCTGTAGGCTTTCTTATGTTTATAGTAAGTCTCTTGACTTTTGCAGAAGAATGGGGAGTAGTTATTATAAGACCCTTTAGCAAAGTTTTTGCTTCCATTCCTCTAAACTGGCAGTGCTTCAGCAGAAATTCTGTCTCCACACTGGTAAGTTAAAGCAGACTCTGCTTTACTTCCATAGTAGGGAGACTGGCTTTATGTGATACCACATTTAAATAAAACTTAGGAAAGGGAATCCTCATTCTTTGTCTTGGAAAGCAGTCTGAATTTATTGTTAAATTAAAAGTAAGTACTCTGAGGATAAAGGACCTGATAAACTTTACAAAATTTCAAGGCTTCTGTGTTTTTCTAAGTGTTGGTAAGACAGTTGCAGAAAGTGCTTCTTTATTTTCTTATTTATTAGAAGATTGCAGATACATGGGCACAGATCTTTGTTCTAACTGGTAATATAATATTGAAAAGTGATCTCAGTGGAGTCCTGGCAGTTGGCAGCATATATTTTCTATTAGACAGTCTTGGAACACACCAAAAATAAATGCCATTGTTTCTATTGTGGGCTGTCCTCTCCAGACTTGCCATTTCAGTGATATGCCTGGTATGAGATCTGTCAACAGATGCTGGTAACACATGATGACGTCCATAGGATTACAATGGATGTGATGCCTAATTATAACCATGGTTCATAGAGTATTACAGTCTGCTGTAATCCAGGCTCCTTGGGGGTTGCAGATTTCAGAATAAATATGAAGCACCCTACAGGAGAAGAACCTGAGTTGTAGCTCAACTCTGTCTCTCTTAATGTGAACAGTTTAAATGCTTTAGTTGGAGTAATATTTAGCCTGTCTTACATAAAGAAATCAAGAAAATGTAACAATTTGATAATTTTCGGCTCTTGACACTATTGGTGAATACTTAAACAGGATCATATGGTTGGTAATTTCAGACAGAAACAAAGAAAGGATGACTAAGTAACAAAGAAAAATTGCAGTTTGAATGAACATGTTGTCTTCAGTAGGAACTAATTAGAGGACTACAGCCTTGGTGTCTTTTGGACATGTAGATGGCAACCATGGCACTGGAAGCTTCTGAAATCTACTTCCTGACCCAGTACATTTCCACTGGTGCTTATACAGCAGTTGAAAGACCTGTGGAACTGGCCCATTGTTTCCTCAGTACTACACAGATATAAAAAAAGTGTTAGAAATCAAAGTCTGGACAGAGGGGTTGGGGTTCTCTCTGCTCTGTAACCTTAGGCAAGGTCACCTCGCCTGAGACCTCTGTCTTCCCACTGGCAGAACGAAGACAGCAGAGGTGTTTGTAACAACTGATAGAAGTGGTTGGTTCTGTTATATCAGACTAGTGTCTTTCAGTCCCTGCTGGTCTGGGGTGGAAGTAAAAATTGTACTAGCTGACAGTGGAAGTCTTAAAACCTGATTTCACTCTCTCCATGATAAATTTGTTTCTTAAGTTTGCAAAAAAAGTTCAACTTCACACACCTTTTAGTTTTCAGTAGTCTGTATCTCAATAGAACTAAAAGGGACACAGGAAAACACAGTGTCTCTTAGCTTAGTAAACCAAGCCGAACACTGCTACTCAAGATGCAAGCCTACTGGATTGCTTGCAATGTGTTTGAACTAACACTTTTTAGTGAGCTGTGTGTTAAATGGTGTTCTTTCTTATTTGTAACTTTTGCTATAAACACTTTATTACAGGAATCTGCTTTTTAAAACTCTGACATGAAATGTGGTTTGTTAGTTTTTCAAGAAGGTTTTAAGCTTCCAGCATAAAGATCTAAACATTGTGGACAACGTTCAGACATTCTTCAGGACTGTTGTTCTAAAGCAGTAAACTGCCTGCTTGTATTTCTTGTGACTTCTCCAGTCAATCCGACATGTCTCTGACACTGTTGCACTAACACACATGCTCCTTGCCTTACTGAGATTACCGTAGAAGAATGCTCCTATTCTAGATTGTTGTGTGGCCCTGATATCACCACTTTGTTAATGCAGAAGGGTTTCAATGTAAGTGTCAATGCAGTTTCTGGCCATTTTGATGTGGTTTTTTTTGTTTGTTTGTTTTTTGTACTGGTATAGAATAAACAAGAAGACTTAGAATATTTATTTAGCTTGATATTACACTCTTTGTGAATGCAAATCTTCTTGATGATGGTGAAATCCGTGCATGAGTGAGGATTTTGGAAGAGGTTCTTTAGGAAAGAAGCTGTGTCTTTCCAGTCTTCAGCAGTGCATATCAGATTACATTTCCAGTGTGATTTACAAGGATTTATCTGCATTACCTCCTTTGTCTGGTAATACAACTCCAGTTGTCCTTGCAAATAAAAAAATATGCATTTGGAAGCCACATGTGTGGCAAATTATTTGAAAGAAGTTACCAGGACTATGAATTAGGACAACATCCTTCTTTTTCTAGTGTTGCTGCAACTCTATTAAGTTCAGCAGATTTGAGAGTTTGATTGCAGCCTGAAAGAGGAGTTGACCTTGTGTTCAGTCTGTCTACAGAGACTATAATAGAGTTAGTCAGTGTCCCGAATCACTCTGAAGTTTGCGTGGTCTTCTATGGGTGAAATCTAATTTGATTTCTTATCAGAAACCTCTTCCTGTAAGAAGGCTTCTCATGAGTGAGAAAATAGATGAAGCAGTGGAATGAAGCAGCTTCATTCTTCAACCAGGAAGAAGAGAAAAATAACCAAGCTTGAATGAATGAAAAAGAAACGTAAGGCAGAAAAACACTGGCAGGAGAGGCTGGATACCACCAGCAAAACTCAGTACTGAAACACTCCTCATGGGTTTACAGGCTCCAGAATGAAATAATTGTCATGAAGAATACAGTCCTATCTGCAGTGTGTACAGGGCATTCCAGCCTTGGTCTTGCTCTTTTACTGAGATTGTCTGTGAATAATAAAAGCTGGGGGGTTGGGTGTGGTTTGGGGGGTGGGGGTGAGTGTTTTGACTGTTTCTTTGCTTATTTTTTGTTGTTTATAAGACCCTGCAAAATTCTTACGCTGAATGATAAGACTTGGGGTTAAGCTCCCACAGCACACAGAGAAGCCATCCATCTCTTGAGGGTTTTTAATGAGATGACACTTCTTACCCATTTGGAATACCAGAGGCATTGTTAAGAAGGCACAGAGATTCCCCTCTGCAAATGAGCAACGTGAACAGGGTCTGGATGAGAACCAGCAGCGTATGTAGGAGGTGTGAGGGAGGCAAAAGGTATGCTCCTTTCTAAGAGCGTATCAGCCTTCTCAGTATTTATTCCTAGTCCTTACCTGTTAACAGTTGGATATTTCTTAT